GGGTGGGGGGTATGGGGGTGCAGTTTCTGTGCGTCGTCCCCTACTCCTCCTCCTCCTCCGTCTCCCAGTGCTGCAGCTGCCGCTGAGGGGGGTGGGTGTGTGGGAGCCGAAGGAGTGGTACTAGGGGGGTGACGTGCAAGTGGAGTTAGGAGTGAAGCAGTGGGTGTGTGGGGGGTGTGTGGGACAGTTGGAGGAGGTTGAGCGGAGGCTGCTGTCTTGTCGTCCGCAGCACCTGTAGTCCGGGGCGCACTATCCTGGTAGCCCAGAGAGTCTGCTGCGCCTGTCGCCCGAGGGTCCGTTGCTCCTGTAGCTCGTCGTAGCCCGTGAGCCAGTTACTCCAGTAGTCCGGGGCGCACTGTCCCGGTAGCCACTGTGCCAGCAGCTCCTGTTGCCCGTGTGTCTGCAGCTTCAGCCGCCGTCTCTCATCTTCTCTCCTCTCACAGTCCCTCCTCCTCCTCACTTGCCCGCTGTGATTACCTCTAGCTTTGCTTCTTATTATGAACTCCTGCTATACCTGCTCATTGTGCTGATTACACCCCACTTTGGCTATGGGGGTGTGTCAGAATGTTGTATTTGTCTAGCCTGCAGTGGGGTACTCTATAGCGAGTACAGCCCAATCTAGGGTTTCCTATATGTACTCAACTGCTTGCTAGTGAAACCCCTCCTTTCTTCATTCTTACTTTCTACTGCTAGTTCTGACAGTTCTGTGCGGCTTGCCGTGGGAGTGTGGCAGGTGTTGCAGAGACCGTTGATGTCGGGCTCGTGAAGGTTGATTTTACGGGGATGAGGGCTGCGGCGGATCCACGGCCTCCCGTCTGGGTGTTGCCACGACTCTTTGTTCATGAAGGGGAAGTCGAGGGGGACGAGATCCACGAGCTCGTCAGATGAAGCCTGACAGCTCGGTATGTCGAAGTCCATGACGTAGATGCCGTTGATCGAGCGAGCTCGTCCCAGGTATTTGTGCGACTCGGGGGGGGTGTCTGGAGGAGCAAAGGTGAGGATGAGATCGCGTGTATCCGGGTCCGTGGCGAGCATAACCCCGCAGTCTCGGAGTTGCCCTGCTGAGAGTAGGTTAAATCGAAGATCCGGGACGTAGAGCACGTCGTTGAACGAAATGTGAGTATTACTGTCTCGTGCTTGCAGGACCACAATCCCTTGCGCGTTGGCGCGCAGCTGTTCGTTGTTAGCAACGGTGACGTAGGTGGCGGGGGCGCGACTGAGGTTCGAGACGTGTCGAACAGATCCCACCATGTGCTGTCCGCAGCAGCTGTCCAGGTACCAAGTGTTGTAGTTGGCGGTGTTGTTGTTGCGCAGAAGTAGCGCGAGTCGCGGAGTCACTAGTGTTGCCTTGTAGCGTCTGTGGAAAAATGGATCTTCGTCTTCTTTCCATCCCACAGGTACGAAGTGCTGGTTGTCATGAGGCGGGCTTTCCCGCAGTGTCATTGGCAGATGCCAATCTTGCTCGTCTTCGTCATAGCGGTAGTAGTGATCTTATGTGAGAGGGTTGTTACACCCTTCTTCAGGTTGAAGGAGCTCACCGCGACGTTCGTCCTCTTCGTCTGGTTCAACAGCGCGAGGGCGACGCCTTGCCGCCATGTTCGTAATCACGTTTCTAGGAGCTCCTGCTTGAGGTCCTTGTTATGCTGTTGTTGGTGCCGTGCAGGGGGACGAGAGTTTTGATGCTGAGGCTGAGAATGACGAGCGTCTTGTCGGCCGACCCAATTGTTGTGGTGAGTGGAATTTGGGTGGCGATAGTTGGATCGGAATTTGCATCGATCCGTTGGATGTCCGAAGACCTTGCATATTTTGCAATAGTGGCACCTTGGTTGTCGTCGCTCTTCACGGTTGTCTGCGTAGAAGGCGAGGCGCTCTCGGCGCGGCGCGGAGCTTGTTCTGCTCGAGTCCATGTCCTGCTGTTCAGTCAGGAGAGCGGCGCATAGCGCGGCTTGAGAGATGATTCCGCGTTGTCGGAGTAGCGCTTTGCAGGGCTTCTACTCTGGCCCGAGTCCTTGGAGGACTATATTGACGAAGATCTCTTCCGAGATTGCACTCACATGTTTCGTGATCTGGTCGCGGATGTTCCGACAGCGGTTAATATAAGAATTTGCTTTCTCCCCGTGCCCCATCTTCGTCTCCATGAGTTGCTGCAGGAGCCTGCTGGCGGTGACCGAATCCTTTGGCTGATATACCTCAACGAGGTGCTTCCAGGCTTCCAAGGCTGGAGCGGCGCTCTCTTTGTAGGAGCGAATGCTAAGTTGTTCCGCAGGCGTCATATTCCGAAGCAGCACACTGTATGTCATGAGGGACTCACTGTAGTACTGAGCCCTGGCGTCGTCGGTGTCTTCCACCGGTTTTGCGTAGGAACCGTCGAAGTAATGGTAGATCTGCGCTGTTTGTAGGAGGAGCTCAAGCTCGAAACTCCATGTATAGAAGTCCTTGCCGTCAAATGCGGCAGTAGTCTTAATTTTTGAAACGCTGAGAAAGCGTGCTTGCGCAGAGTTGATAACTTCATCACTTGGACGGGGGGCAGTTGTTGTTGATTTGTCTGTGTCGAGGGAGAAGGTGTGCACGGCGGTATCACGGCTTTTCGCGGCCGGTTGTCCAGGTTGAAATGGTTGGGAAGAGGTTCCCGCATCGCCTTTGCGCAGTTCTTGGAGGTCTTTCTCCATAGTTGATAGTCGCGAAAATAACTGCACGAGTGCGGTAGTACTGATCGTGGTTGTCGCCTCATTTGTCGCAGCCGGGTTGGTTTGTCCTTCGGCCGTCATATTTGCTTGGCCTCCGGATCCTCCGGCCATCTTGGTCTTGGAGCGTGTGCCGCTCGCCAGATCTTGGTTCGGCGAATTTCACGGAAGTGAAGTTGCAAAGAATCCCTGAGTAGCTCTCATACCATGTTACAATCCCAAGTGGAACTTAGCAAAAGATCGCTCAGGGTTGATCGCGGGGTAGTGTTGCAGCGGAAGATGGAATCTCAGGTCAGAGTGAATGTAAATGACTGAGTTGATAATATCATGCATACATCGGGTTTATATAAGAGTACAAGGGAATACGAAAAGACCTAGACTAGCCATGTACTCTAAGGGGTACATTCTCTTATTGCAGCGAATTCAAACCGTGCGGCGCGGGAACCCGTTTCAAACCTGTTCCCGCTCTTTTCACTTCGAATGTTTCTGCCTGCATCGGTCTTGATCAGACGGTTACCAACGTCGCTTCGACTCTTCTGACTCCTCGGCTTCGTACACTTTAGAGTCGGTCCCTGTAGCATACAGGAATGCCTTCTCGTAAAGTTTCATATCGTAACAGTATCAATCTTCATGTTCTTTGCCAAAGGTGAATAATTGTGTCCTTCTTTATAGAATTCGCCTAATCTCACACATATCGCTAATCGGTTTTCATACGATTCAAAATCTCTGACTACTATAGTAAGCTTGTGGCTAGGATTTGTTTTTTCACAATAACCAACTTGATGCACTGTTATGTACACGAATAAGTTTCGTAGCCAATGGGATGACCCCGAAGATTCTCGAAGAAGAAAAAAAGAATATTTCATACTCGTAACGTGTTTGCATGATGACACCGAAGATTCTCGAAGAAGAAAAAAAAAATATTTCATACTCGTAACGTGTTTGCATGATGACGCGTCACATACTATAGTTTGCACGAGGAACAGTGAAAATTTAACAAATGCCAATGCGGTGGGTGTTTTAGCAGAGCTCGCCCTTCTATAAGCTGACCAGCCATAGTGGATTTTACATTGAACGCCCTAAAAAGTAAACCATCTAAGAGAGTCACATTCATCCGAACTGTGACTGTACTGTTCCTTGAAACCCTATAACGATTTCAAGTTCGCGAGAATCAGGGTGTAGTTCCATGATTCCAAATCTTACATGTGCCATGTTGGCCAAAACATTTCTTTTTGTTCGTTGTTCACTGCCACTTCAGTCGCATGGCACGTGGGGTGGGTGTGGCCAGAATAAAAATTCTGCCACGCTGGACCCAAATATCTGTTTTTTTTAGGCGCATCCACGTAACCCTTATCCGAAATTGCGCAAGATTTCAGTAATTTTGCTCTAGGTTGTGTTGTGTGCTGCTGGGTGGTTGGGGGTGGGTGGGGAGGTGAAAGCAAAGTAGGGCAAGCTGGCTTATCTGATTACTAGTCACTAGTATGTAACTTCTAAGTCAATTTCGGGCTGGAGGTTTTCCGCAGCTCAGGGTTGTCTTTCCCGCAGCTTTTCCGCAACAAAGCTACTGTGCACACTTTTGTACGCTCAAACTATTTCGCGACGGTAGGCGTACTTTTGCTGAGTCGCCAAGTCCAGGGGCCACCCAAAACGCCAATTCTGCAAGTTTTTGCTCCGCACGATCCGCAATATGCGCCACGGGCATTCACGTTCCACCCTCAGGGTGTACAGAACAGAACACTGTCAGTGTCACCGGGCTCGGAGGCGCACCTCTCGTCTTTTCCAGCGGCGCCGTACATTGTACTGTAGTCGTCCACCTTACTAATAGTAGTGATGCCGAGCTGGCAGGTGAACGCGGCCCGAAGTTGGCCTGCCATGCGTGAGTCACGCCTCCCCCGCTCTCGGGCTGAGACGAGTATACAAGACTCTTGTTTCGCCTGCATGGAGCACGGCAGATTTCCGTTTTCCATTTTCGTATTTGCAGTTTGGAGTCCAAACTTCCGTTTTCAACCTCTCGTTACTGTTTAGTGCATAACATGATGGAGCGCTGGGCGACGCCTCTCTTCCTCCTCCTCTGTAGTAAGTACCTCACCCTTGCCGCTTTCTCTTCATCTCTTCTGCTTTAGCTCTTACCCGTGGTGATGGCGCTTCGATTGATGCACCTGCGCGGTGCGGCGCCGCTGCTATCGCCGCGAGAAGCCAGCTGTGCCGGAGCCTTCCTGGCGCGGCTTTTGCCTTTTCTGGGCAGTTAGTGTCTCGCCCATCACTTCTCACTCAGTGAGTCATGATGCTCCCTCGTGCGCTGCCTTTACCCCTCAGGTGCGGCGTTCTTCACTGCCGCGTCTGCCTCACTCTTACGGCCACTCCTTGCACGCGACGGCAGTGCTACGCCGGTCAGGCCAAGCCCTTGTTGATAGTAAAAGGGAAGACTATGGGTAAGTTCCGCAGCACTCCGAAAGGTGAGATTCGATCATAGTAAAGGCGAACTGAGTTTCGTCACAGACATTCTCTTAGCAATGGGATGATATATGTTATCATGTCAGTTTTCCTGATTTGTTCCATAGTCACATTGGATAATAAGGCATCATGATGATGCCGCCGCTACATTGTTTCCCGGATGCACCTGCACCGTCAGGGCCGCGCGTCGCATAATGCCGGAGTCACGCCTCCATCCAATGGTGCTACGACTCGGAATACCAACCCATCGTCCTTCCACCTTCTTCCCCACGCGCCGCTACCCCTGCCATTCCCATTGCCAGACAAATATGTGGCCAAGTTTCATGTCCCTGGGTCCAACGGGAATCCGATCGGCGACAAAGGCGCAGGCGGGAAAGCTGTCTATAGGGTGGTGAGGTGCGTGGTGTGATTCTACAGCTGCTGCTGCTGCTGCTGCCGCCGCCGCCGCCGCCGCCGCTGCTGCTGCTGCTGTTCCTTTTTTTTAGTGGCCCGAGCCCCTCTCCATCACCTCCCAACCCTGCGCCCCTCATCAACCCGCAGCTTTTTTTTGTTATGCGTGCATTCACAACGCTCTGTCACATTTGGTGCGCGTGAGATGCGAGGATATGTCTCCCCAGCTTCTTCCTCCAGCCCTGGTATCTCGACCCCAACTCCTCCAACCCCTCCTCTCCCCCCTCGCGACCACCTCGCGCAATGTCCTGTTGGCAGGAACTCAGCTACTAGGTTCTACGTCACTGAGGTCTACACCGTCTTGAACTTAAAATCTGCTGGCTCTGTGCCTTACACAATGTTGAGTGCGTCCTGCTTTGAAGCCGGTGACGAGACCCACCAGGCATTGCGTAACATCAGTGCCTCGTCCGCTCGCCCCAGGCGTTATAGCTTCAAGTTTAAAGGGGTTGAAGTGCTACAGACTCTGGATGAAGCCCGTTCGATCATGGCGGAGGTTGTGCACAACGTCCCCTTCCTTCGCGTTCTGCATGACTACAACGAGTATGCACTCTGCGGGAAGATTAAGAAAGTGAAGTAGTGGTTGGCTCAGCTAAGAGTACGCGTGAAATCGTGCAAAATGGATGTGTAGGAGCCTGGGCTGAGTTTCTTGCATTAGGTAGATAGTACGTTTTATATATAAGCTGCTTGCTGTGTGTTGTGGTGTAGCTACAGTAGGTTCCTGCGGGTGGTGTACCCCTTTGCCTCTTGCTTGCTTGTAGGGGCTCGACCCCTTTCTAGTCCTCTTTTCATCTCTCATCTCGTAACTCCTAAGGCCCCAAGCTCCTAATTAAAGCATTGTGGTTGTTTTCTCGATTTTAATATACAGGCCTGCACTTATATCCTGGGCCATACGGTGGTACTACGACAGTTCCAATGCTGTTAAAATAAAAGCCAACTGATGAGCATCCTTCACGAACGGAGCTGTTCAGGCGCTATCTGCGAGAAGCCATGGCGGACTTACTATCAAGTCATTGTCCAGCTCGGACCACGTCTATCCACCGCTTGCTGCGTGGATTGGGCAAGTAGGGAAGCACGTCTCGACATACCGGTTTATCTGTCAAATTATATGTATGATATATATGTTGAATTATATATCTTATAACTGTCTACAGCTTGCTAGTGTATTAGTTAGCTATTAGAATCAACCGTTGGTGGTGCACCCTATCCCTTTGCTCTTGCCTACTTGTACTTCCAACTCTATAGTGAACCCTCTCTTCTTTGCTCAACCTTCTCGACATTCATGCAAGCCCCCATACCCTAGTCTCCCAAGTCCTCTCCTAATTTAACATGGTATTGAGCTACTAAGCTCCTCGGACCTAAATGGGCCCACCCGTTCATTCTCTCATGGCTTCCCCGTCGCGCCTCTCTCGTTTCGCCCCCCGTCGCGCGTCAGTCTCTGAACCTGTCGCGACGGTCGCAACGGTCATGGCGGCGAACTGTGCGCGCCCCCCCGTCACGCTCGCCGCGGACCCCCATCGCGGCTCCCTGCCGCGCCTCTGGTGCGGCATCCCGTCGCACCCTGCGCGACCTCTGTCGCGGCTCCCCGTTCCCCCCACCCATGCTCCCGCCAGCGCCAGCCGCGCTAGCGACTGCTGCCGTGTTAGCGCGAGGTGGTGGGGGTGGCGGCCAGTGGGGAGACACGGGGGTGGAGGTGGAGGTGGCGGGCTGTGGGGGGGAGGGTAAGGGGGTGGCGAGAAGGATTCTGCAAACTCAACCACCGCCCCTCTCCCCCCCTCTCTCCCTTCCGCGGATGCTGCCGTGGGGGGGAAGGGTGAGTGGGTGGCGGGAGGGGGAGGGTGAAGGGGTGACGAGCATACCCAGAGCCGCCGCCAATCATCCTCCTCCTCTCCTCTCCTCTCCTCTCCTCCTCTCCTCTCCTCCAGCCGCCTCCTCCTCTCTCCTCTCCTCTCCTCCAGCCGCATCTCCTCCTCCTATCTCCTCTCTTCCAGCCGCCTCTCCTCTGCTCTCCTCCTGTGCACCACCAGCAGATTCCTCCTCCTCACCAACAGTTGTGTTTGCTCGTAGATGGCGAGCGACCAGCATCCTTCGCCCTCCGGCTATCCCAGCCCTCCTCCGCGCTCTCCGCGCCCTCCTCCGTTCTGGCTTTCACAGGTGCTGCCGGTCAGCCACCGCTGTTTCTGTGCCTATCCCAGCTACAGCAACCACTCTCCAGGCGACCTGGTGCCAGACACCACTAGCTAAAGCCGTAGGCAGTTACGGGGGTGTGTTGAATTATATATCTTATAACTGTCTACAGCTTGCTAGTGTATTAGTTAGCTATTAGAATCAACCATTGGTGGTGCACCCTATCCTTTTGCTCTTGCCTACTTGTACTTCCAACTCTATAGTGAACCCTCTCTTCTTTGCTCAACCTTCTCGACATTCATGCAAGCCCCCATACCCTAGTCTCCTAAGTCCTCTCCTAATTTAACAATATATGGTTAGGATGTAGTGGGGTAGCCAATATGGGGTACAGCCCCGTTTAGGGTTTCATACTTGTACCCAACTCTTTCATACTGCATTCATTCCTGCCTAGACTTCTGACATGGTATTCAGAGCAGTAGGTCCGTAGGACCGTCTTTTTTTTCGGGCCCACCTACCGCTACCCCACGACTGTGACTGTGACTGTGCCTAGGACGTACTGCGCTGCGCGCACTGTCTGCCTACTGCCTGCTGTCTGCCGTCTGAGCTGTCTGCTGTGTGAGCTGTCTGCTGCTGCTTCGCGCGCGCAGACCTGATTCCCGCGCGCTGCCCCCCCTTTTTGCCCCGCGCGTCTGTCAAAGCATATGCTTGTTATACATGTGTAGGCTGTAGTGGGGTAGCCAATATGGGGTACAGCCCCTTTTAGGGTTTCATACTTGTACCCAACTCTGTCATAGTTCATTCATTCCTGCTGCTTGATTCTGACATGGTTTCAGAGCACTAGGTCCGTAGGACCGTTTTCTTTCGGGCCCACCTACCGTTGCGGTTACCGTGTTACCCCACGTGTTGTCCTGCCTGCCTGCCTTGCCTTGTGACGTGCTGCGCTGCGCGCGCCGTCCTGCAGCCCTCGTACTGCCCACTGCTGCCCTAGGCCAGAGCGCCGCCCCTGCAGGCCCGTAAGGCTCACGCGCCGCGGCTGCAGACACGTCAGGCCTGCGCGCTGCCCCTGCAGGCCCGTCAGGCCAGGGCGCCGCCCCGCCAGTTCCCTGCCCCGCGCGTCGCGCCCACAGCCCGCGCGTCACGCTGCAGCCCCGCGCGTCGCGTCCGCTGCCCGCGCGTCGCGTTCGCTGCCCGCGCGTCGCGCTGCAGCCCCGCGCGCCGCGACTGCCGTCCTCGCGCAGCCCGCGGCGGCTTCGCGTGCCGCGTTTGCAGCTCGCGTGGCGCGCTGCAGCCCCGGGCGCCGCGGCTGCCCCTGGACGCCGCCGTCGCTCCTGCAGCAGCTGCCGCGGAGCGCCCTGCCGCAGTCGCGGCCCCGCCCTGCAGCACCTGCCGCGGAGCCTCCTGCCGCCGTCGCGGCCCTGCCCTGCAGCAGCTGCCGCGGAGCCTTCTGCCGCCGTCACGTCCCCGCCCTGCAGCAGCTGTCGCGGACCTGCCCTTCCTCCGACGCGGTCCTACTCTGCCGCAGCTGTCGCGGCCCCGCCGTCGCCGCCGTTGTGAGCCTGCCCTTCTCGCCACTGGTGAGCACTTACCTGCCTGCCTGCCGCGCCTGCCCTGCCCGCGCTACTACTACTGCTAGACTGCTGCTGCTGCTGCTGCTGCTGCTGCTGCTGCTATTGCTGCTGCTGCTACTACTGCTACTACTGCTACTGGCGGTGGCCAGATGCAGCTCCAGCGACGTTCACGCGAGTCTCTCACGCCCCAGCAGCTTCGTGAGTGGTACGCTAGTTGGGGTTGTGGCGGTCGCCGTCGTAGCAGTCGCCCTGGAGCTGGTCAGTTGGGAGCGTCTGGCAGTGGCCAGCTGCAGCTGCAGCGGCGTCCACGCGAGACACTTACGTCCCAGCAGCTTCACGAGTGGTACGCTCAGAGTAGAGGGTCTTTGAGTACCGTTCGCTGCCCGTATGTCATTCGCACAGGTGATCGGGCCGGTCAGCCTTGCGGGACGCTTGGTCACACATAGTCCCGCTGCTTCGCCCGTCTGAGCGACGCCTGGCGTACCGAGTTTGGCGACGAGGCTGAGCTCCCCACCTGGCTGGAGCTGCTTGGACAGAGAGTAGATATCTTTGCTCTTGACTATGATGCTATTCTCACTGCCATGTATGCATTGCCTACTAGTGCTGACCGTGCCTGCTCCCTGTGCGTACCACCTGACCCAGGTATAGAGCGTGCTGCTCTAGGTGCTGGTGAGGCTGCTGCTCTAGGTGCTAGTGCGTCTCCTGCTCTTGGTACTGGTGAGGCTGCTGCTCCAGGTGCTGGTGAGTCTGCTCTCTCTGGTACTGCGCCTGCTGAGGCCGTGTACACCTTCACACTTGACTCAGGTGCTTCCCGCTCCTTCTTTCGCGACAGCACCACACTCATGCCGCTCCGTCGGCCGGTTGCAGTCTCCCTGGCAGACCCCTCTGGGGGTCCAGTCCTTGCGCACTCCTCCACGGTCCTGCCGTGTCCGGCGGTCCCATCTAGCTCCCTGTCAGGTCTTCACCTCCCCTTGTTCTCTACGAACTTGGTGAGTGGAGCTGACCTACAGGATGTGTGGGTTGACCAGTTCACCCCTGGAGGTCAGCGTGTGACACACTGTACGTGTTCCCGGACTGGTCGGCACCTGGCCACGTTCACCCGAGAGCCTGGCTCGAGTCTGTACACACTCACCACTGTGTCCCCTCAGGTAGCTGCGTCTGCGTCTGCGTCAGGTCAGCTAGCGGCCCCCTGCTCGTGTCGCGCTCTGTCGCACCAGACCCTCCTTTGGCACCACCGCCTTGGTCACCCCTCGG